CTCCGTACAGCCCTGCGCACAAGCGCATTAGCAAGTTTTTGTTGTTAGTTTTAAGTTTATATTCATTGTATAGTTTTTTGTATTCATTTTTTGTAAAGGGGGAAGTATTGTAGGTGTGCTGCGCACACACATGTAAACTTCGCAATGTTGTATTGTAACTATATTATGTAGTGAATAAGATTTTTCAACCAGTCACTAGTTGCCCGCCAACTGTATGGCACGTTCCGCTATAATAAATATATTAGTAAAAGATTTAATCTTTCATTATGGTCACCAATAGGCACCCATATGGAGTCAGCTCCTAAACTAATATTAAAAAACTGAAGGTAGCCGGACTAACTATGACATTGGGACGTCAAACATCTCAGTCCCCCCCGTGACCATGGGCGCTGTAAAGCACCCGAAACGTCGGGATAATAATAAAAATAAATTAAAGTAATTAAACGCGATAAAATCCGTAAATAATAGTTTTATTCAATGTGTAGTGTTCGCGTAAATTTAAGAAATCATTATGTGAACCAGTACGGACTGGTAATAGCAAATAAAATTCGCCGATTAGAAGATCTTAAAACCAAGCGCGCAAGATATATAACATCTTTAAATTTCTTGAAGAGATGCAGAGACCATAATCTCATTCCTACGTGTGTCAAAATATCAACAAAGAAGGACATTCGAGGAAGCGCTAAGATCTTAAATCAGGCAAGTAAAAAGTTGTTACGGACGGTGATTCAGCAGAAACGGTTCGATTTGCATTTCATAAACAACACCATAGATAATTTGTCCAGCGAACTAAAGACAATTTTAACGACATTTGATTTTAATAATTGCATCGAAACTTTAAACAAACGAGAAACATCAAAATACAATGAATGCAAAAATAAACAAATAGAAAAATACCAAAAATTAACGATCAAATCAAATGCCAAACATCCAAGTCAACGCCAGAACAATAAACAACCGTTGACCATAGACACAAACTATAAACAACGCACTGTCTATAATTTGTCAAAACATACACTGGACGAACCGATAATGAAAGTATTAGCGAAGGGAATGAACTTCGCGTTAACTCCGCGAAAAATCCCGTACGAAGAAATTATCTGCAGTGTTGAGGATTGTCTGTTTAAGAATAATATCGGTAAGGGAGATTTGGAGGCCATACGTCAAGATATTTCGTCCTTGTTACGTCGTAGTTCAGTGCCGAAACCAAACCTTCCCAAAGACGAATTTACAGCGCTAAATAACTTACGGAACAGACCAGAACTCACGATTCTCCGCGTGGATAAAGGAAATGCTACGGTAGTAATGGACGCGTCGGAATATAATTTTAAAATACAACAACTTTTATCGGACGAAAGTACATATAAAAAGGTCAAAACAGACCCTACAACTAACACGCTTAAAACAACTAGCGATTTAATAAAGAAATACTCCGAAAAATTAAATCTCGACGTGAATTCGCTAATACCATCATGTGCCAAACCACCGAGGTTGTATGGGTTACCGAAGATACACAAACCAAACGCTCCACTACGTCCCATAGTGAGCCAGATCGATTCACCAACTTATAAGCTGGCACAATACTTAGCAAAAATACTATCACCACTAAGAGGACATACCAGAGCACACACAAAGGATTCATACCATTTTGTGAGTGAGATAAAAGACCTACATCTCGCTAACAATGAAACTATGGTCAGTTTTGATGTTCAGTCACTATTTACATGCCTACCTATTGTGGACTGCATCTCAATTGTAACTAGGAAGCTAGAAGAAAATAACATGCCTCAAGAATATGCAATACTACTTGAACATTGCCTCACATCTGGCTATCTATTGTGGAAGGAGGAGTTCTACAAGCAAGTAGAGAGTGTGGCGATGGGCTCACCTGTGTCTCCCATAGTCGCCGACATATTCATGGAGGACTTTGAGGAGAAAGCCCTTCTTACTGCTCCTGTAAATCCAAGGTTCTACAAGCGGTACGTAGACGACACTTTCACAATTTTACCATCTGACAAAGTAACTGCATTTTTAGACCACCTTAACTCCATAAACTCTAAAATACAATTCACAATGGAGTTAGAGGCAAATAATTCGTTAGCTTTCCTAGATGTTTTAGTCATCCGAAATCCTGATAACACTATTGGTCACACTGTGTATAGGAAAAAGACCCATACCAACCGATATTTAAATGGTGAATCTCACCATCATCCTTCACAGTTAGCTACCGTGGGTAAATCTTTGTTTCAGAGAGCACGAGGGATCTGTGACAGAAAACATCTGGCCGCGGAGCTTCAGCACGTCAAGCAAGTATTGCAAGACAACAAGCTTCGGGTCCCGCGCCTACGTCACAGTGAACGAGTGAAGCCGGCCACAGTCGAGCGCGCGCCTGCTCTACTACCATATGTTAGAGGAGTCACGGACAAGATTGGCTACATCTTGAAGCGAGCGTCCATTAAGACATACTACAAGCCGCTGAAGAAGATTAGTCAATTTTTACCATCCATCAAATGTAATATTCCTCTACAAGATGCAGGTGTGTATAAGCTAGATTGTGAATGTGGTCTCTCTTACATAGGTCAAACAAAGAGATCTATAAAAACCCGCGTGAAGGAACATATAGCTGATGTGAAGCACCGACGCTCCGGGAAGTCTGCAGTCTGCGAACATGTTCAAGATCGTCCCCACCATTACATTAGATTTGATAAACCACAAATTCTCGCAAAAGAACACCGATTCCTACCAAGGATGATACGCGAAGCTATTGAAATTAAAAAACATCCAAATTTCAATAGAGAAGATGGTTGGGTGCTACCATCTGCTTGGGATCCTATAATTAACAAAATTAAACCCAAACCCAAGCATACCACTGCAAGACTTCATGATACTATAAGCTCGTTTTGCGTAAATCGGACCAAAAATTAATATTAAAAAACTGAAGGTAGCCGGACTAACTATGACATTGGGACGTCAAACATCTCAGTCCCCCCCGTGACCATGGGCGCTGTAAAGCACCCGAAACGTCGGGATAATAATAAAAATAAATTAAAGTAATTAAACGCGATAAAATCCGTAAATAATAGTTTTATTCAATGTGTAGTGTTCGCGTAAATTTAAGAAATCATTAGATATTATTATAGTAATTTATTATTATTAATTTTAAAATTATTATTAAGCCCATTAGCCTTAAAGATGTTTAACAAAGGTGAATTACAAACATTTGTTTGTTCATTCAGCAGTGCACTGTTACCATTACCTTTCTTAAAATCTCCAACTAAACTAATTAGTGCACGCAATTGAGCGAGGGCGGCAGGTGCTCTTCAATTCAGGTAAGACACATCATTGTATTTAGTTAGCGGAAGCTTGCAAATTAATCAATATCTTTATTATAACGGATTTCCGCAAAGTAACGCCTGATTCTATCAATTATCTTAAATGAATATTTGTAAAAAAGTTCTTTTTTTCCAAAAAAATATGTCCCGCTGGGTTTCTTGTTGGTTCTTTCCAGTACATATGTATTTTCCGAACCAGTGGTTAATTTAAAATAAGAGTGATTTTCAGTAAGTACTACTAAATAAGTACATTTATAGTTTACTAGCGATCTGCCCAGGCTTCGCACGGATGATATCTGGATTCTACAACAGCGCTACCTACCGGGTCTGACTAACCTTCGTCGAAGGCTTTATGTTGACAAAGTCCTACCGCAATCTGGTAAACGGTATGGCAACGCATAAAATACGAACAAACATTTTTAATATCATATTATATTGAATAATATGCTTCTGTTTATATTTCCTTACGTGCACATATCAAAAAAATTGCGATCAATAGCAAAAGCTGATATTTTTACTAACAAAAATTAATGAATTCACTCCTAAAGTAATTGTAAAAGGTTTTTATTCAATACAGTATTACTCCTCCCCTGGCTCGACCAGATGCGGTGGTCCTCCAGGGCACGCTGCGGATCAAGTTATCCAGCATTTTTTGCGGTAGCCTGTTCATTCTTGAATGGCAACTTGCCTGATTTCTGCCACTGTCTGAGGAAGTGGCTGACGGTTCCAAATAGCTCGCTTAAGAGCATCCCATGCGTGCTCTGTTTGGTTTAAGCCAGGCGAACCGGTAGGCAAGTCAGACCTTGTGATGTCGTATTCTCGGAGAGCAGCATTGATTCGTTGAGCTCGATGTGCGAGCACACTATCATCGATCAGTACGATTTGGTGCCCACGGTTTACTTGGAATGGTCTGATAATTTTATCAATGGCAACTGTTTTATACCTATTTGCCGCGTCATGGAGCCTCGATACGGGATCAATCACATCAAAAGACGTACTAGTTCCAATCATAGTTCCACCCCAAAAGGAAATTGATTTCCCGCATTGCTGAATAGTTTCAGTGGCAGTTCTTTGCCTTGCAGAGTCTCCAAGTCTTACCCAGACACGGACACGTCGATTATCTGGATGAATACACATTCGCGATTCGTCAACGAAGAAACAGTCTGAGAAGGAGTCAGAACAGCTGAGTGACCACTGCGGGGTCGATCAGCTAAATTATTCCTGCCGTGATACCACTGCAACTTGGCTACGACACAGGATTGAGATTGAGATGCAACAACTCTGCGTGCGATTTTTCCCGTGGAATATCCTTAAAATTACAATTATAGCTCGTAAAACTAGTGATTATATTCTTGGCATTTTTTCAATCACAACTTTCCTCAAAAAATTATTTTAAATCCGTTAAAATTGACTAAGATTTTTGAATGAAAGTAAGCTTGGATTGAATTTCTTTTTATACGGAAAAACAATGGAATTTGCTGTATAGTTTTATCTTTTAATTCTATATTTTTAAGTATAGAATCTAAAAAAGAGAAGAAATTGTAATATAGTCTACCGTAATAAAAAATATTTCGATTTTTCAAACTGATTGCAAACTTTTTTGATGTGTTAATTTACGAAGTATGCTCCTAAACTAAATTTATAAAAAGGTATTTTGTTTATTTATAGCTAATAAGTAAGTATCCTAAAGCACTAGACTACATAGACGGTATTGGAGTGCATTTCTACGCTGACAAAATAATACCTCCTGTCGTTTTGTACGCAGTATCGAAGACCTATCCAGATAAAATTATATTGGCAACGGAAGCTTGTCAAGGTATCTATAGGTATATATACTTCTTTTGAACTTGTTTTCGTCACTGAACTCCTATACGACTCGGCTGATTTTGATGAATTTTCTAATGTCTGTATAAGCAAGGTAGACGATGCTGTTGTCGTGATCCAGGAATCACTTGTGTGTAGCCCAGGCAAATCACTAGTTTCTTATAAATCGTCATTTATACTGTGACCGTCATCGATAAAGCCTACAAAAGTCCACTAACAAACATGGGCCTCTTTAATAGAGAGATATTTGCCATAGTTGCCACACTGGAAATTGCTGCTTCATCTCTCCTGTTTCAGTTTAATTCTATCGCTTCTTACGACACCACCTGTACTATATGGGTTAGTTGATATACATTGCCACTACACGGTTAATTCACTTACAAGACATAATATTTTTTAGGTTGTGAATATGATACTGCAGATCTAATTCTATTCAGCACATCAAGTATCAACATAGACTAGCCATCTGCACAGCACAGGATTGTTGTGCCCGAGTGTATACGCAAGCACAGGTGCAGTCTCTATTCCCTCACTCTCATAGTCCGACGGAACGACAATCCGACATGACCGCAGGGCAATCAGGCACAGAACCAACGGTTCGTGATTTCTGAGGCACGGGGTTGAAACAGAGCTTGCTTGCTGGTCTAAAATAGTACTAAGAATTTCATAACAGAAAAGATCAATAACTGACTTTAGTCAATCCGAGATTCGAATCCGTTGCTTGATCAGCAGTCGCGCTTACGAATACTTGATCAACGGGGCATCCAATGTGTATTCACTACCACAAGCACTACCGCGCGGCAAGCGCTATCATTCGCTATTTACTACAGTCCAGCTGAGTGTACTGAAATCTAAGAAGGATAGATATTGTGCTATCCGGTCGCCAAAAGCTCCAATTTGTCAAACAAAGTCTTTATTATATTATATATCTTTATCTTTATCAGGTTCTGCTCCATGGCAATCCGAAAAAGTGGAACTGGGTTCATGGCGGAGAGCAATCAGTTACATAACAGACATATTAGAGGTAAAAACCTCTTTTCTTATTATTTTTATCTATGACATACTGGGTCTCCAAGTTCGGGGGTCAGGACATTGATATATTAACAATTTTTTTTAATTGTGTTAAGTAAATATTGTTACGAGTATTATCAATATTATAGAATGTTGCTTCGGTAACTTGTAAAGCCGTTACTTATTTATCGGCCTGTGAAAGTCAACGCTTGCGCCTTGAGACTTTCTTGTTTTAAGAGGGTAATAGTATAGGTAATAATACTAATAATCAGATAGCACATTTGCTATCAGTCTTACATTATGTTTGATTAGATAATACCAATCATCTGTCCAAAACTTCTTAATTACTATATTTGTCAATTAAATGAAATTTGTCATTATTATCATTACATGTCAAATTTAAATTATTATTACAAATTAAATTATTCATTTGTAAATTTAAACAGTGTCTTAAATTATTTTCTTGTGGCAATCCCTGTATATAGAGCAGTGTGAACAAGACAATTTTATTTACTTTTTAGTCATTAAGCTGTTCCTTAACCGTTTGTTGTTTACACTGCCTCTTCTAACTACCAAACTATTATTGTACTATTTGGAAAAAATTTAGTAACTGTAATTTTATTTGAATGTCACTAGGAGATACTCCAGGCATGCAGCAATTTGTAATTTTTTATCCCTTTAAAGTTTTATTTAAAATTATGCCTAAATCTTTTCCCATGTCATCGCTATACACAATTATATTATTTTTGAAAATATTTGAATTATATTTTATTTTATTCTCCTCTCTTATGTTACTGTCATAGAGTTTTGGTGGTGATATAATATTATCAGCACACATAGACTCTCTGTAACTTCAATGCAGCAATAAACCTGAGAGCTTCCTCATATTCCTTGCTGCATCGGTCAAACTCAATAACCATTCCCTGTAGCTGATCTATTTCTTTTATAACATTTGTGCAATAAGTGTGAAATTTAAATCGTGTTAAATTTTAATTGTGTATTTTGGCAATTATGCTAACTATTTTCTTTTCATTATTATACATATTAAGCAACCGTTCACACTGCTCCAGAATCACCAAGCTTGGTTCTCCATCTGGCGCATCTTGGCGTTGCGAGTCTTCATTTTACTATTTATTGTAAATAATAAATGAAAACAAAAATCGAAAACTGAAGGAGCAGAGCAAGCTAATATCGAGTTTTTTTATTATTATTTACAGATCTCAAATCAAATTATCGTTAGAATAATTCGAAAAGAAACCCGCAAAGAACATAATAATCCGAGAAATGTGTAGACTAGATCTTTAAAAAATTACTAAGAATTACAATGTATTTACCTAAATAATGTTCGTTACCTGTCATTTTTTTCACACACAAAAAAGTTGTTATAAAATTGATCTTACCGACTTTTTTAAACAATCAATACCAAGCGGCAGTAATTACTAACTATAATATAAAATTGAGGTGGATATTAAGAATTTACAATATTTAAATTAATAAAACTTTCCAGGACCATTTACTTTTACAACTTATCACCAGGGTTGCCACAATAAATAATAAAAAAGTTGACCAAGGTCAACACAGACAATAAAATTACCTCAAAAATAATAAAATGTATCAAAAAAATATCCAAAATCAAAATTTATGACATTTTCTTCTGATAACATTTAATCCTAAACTTTTGTTAAAACAGGACTTAAACCACAATGTAGCTGGCTGGATCGACTGGAACTTATGTCTGAACATGGAAGGTGGTCCAAACTGGGCTAAGAACTATGCAGACTCAGCTGTTATTGTGAACGCCGAGAAAAATGAATTTTACAAGCAGCCTATTTTTTACGCTATGGGACACTTTTCCAAATTTATAAAACGAGGTTCACGAAGAATTGAGATTAGAGAGAAGAAATTATGTTTTACTGGTTCCGTTAAAAATGTTGCCTTTCTAACGCCAGATGGCACCGTAGTCGTTGTTTTCTTGAACGAGTAAGTTCTTTCCATTTATTTTATATTATTGTATCTTCAGTTTTCTTTACTCCCGGTCTTATAAGGGAAATTAATGATTGAGTGCGTGATTTCGGTACTGAAGGTATCTATCTACAGTAGAAGCAGAGTCATGAACAAAGGTGAAGGGGTCAGTAAACTAGCTTTTATGGCTAGTGAAAAAGAGAAAGAATATATAAAAGTTAAACTACCTAACTCAAGAATTCATGGAAGGCAGTGTCAAAGTTAATTTCTAATTGACGGCTCCGTGGTACAGTAGCTTAGCAAGAGTTGCAGCGCTAAGTGCTGCGGGTTCGAAATCCAGCACGGAACAAGTATTTGTATGGCCTACAAATAATTGTTCCGGGTCTGGATGTTTAAAGAAAACTATACTCCCCCCCATTTAGGTCCCCACTGTCTTATATTTTCTTTCTTATTCCTCAGACATGCAGGTTTCTCATCCTCGCAAAATTTATCTATATCTTATAACTGCCCCCACGATACAGGAGAAAATCCTTATGCGGAGGTTACGTTTTTTAACAAAAAAAAAATCTGAATTTTACATACTTAAATTATGGTCTAATTGAAGATTGAAGGTTTGGTTTTTCAATTTTCGATCCCTTAACCAATTAAAGCTCTTCTAATAGAGACAATACTCTACTGAGATTTCTGCGTGCAACGGATTATCTGAAAAATTTTAATTATGATGAGAGGATATTCTGAGAGATGCGTACATCTAGCGGTGAATTAATTTAAGGTTGATGATTGAGATGGTGAAAGTGAAGATAATGCTACTGAATATTGTCTTAGGTCCCGCGAGTAAAGGGTAGTGAATGGCAAATAAATATTATTAGTGTTGCCTAAGAAAAAATATAATTATCTTTGCCATAAAGGGCAAGGTAAAGGGCAAGGGTTGCCACAAACGCTCTCACAGCATCTATAAAATGTAATTTTTTTTTCATCGTGAAAAATTTAAGTTTCGTTTTTCGTGTTTTCTGCTTTTGTACGATTCACCTGATATTAAGTGACTACCGCCCCCCATAAAAACTGCAACACTAGGGGAATTGCAGGTACATTGCCGACCTTTTAGAAAGCAGTAAGCTCTTTTCTTGAATGTTCCTAGGTTTTTTTAATAGAAGAGGGGGCAAACGAGTATGCGGCTCATCTGACATTAAGTGATCAACAGCAACACCAGGGGAATTGCAGGTGCGTTTCCGGCCTTTTAGAAAGGTGTAAGCTCTTTTCTTGAAGGTCCCCGGGTCGCATCGGTCTGGAAAAATCGCCTGTGGTAAGCTATCCCACCGAGTGGTCGTACGCGGAAGAAAACTCGCTGTGAAACGTACAGTGGTGGACCGCCAAGCATCCAGATGGTGTGGATGGTATCGGGACGTTTGCCACGTAGTGTAAAACCATCCAGACGCCTCACCGGCGAGAGAAAAAGGGGCACGGCGTTCACGAAATTTAGCGGCTGGGATTAATCCGAACAGCTCCTCAGAGCATTCCCCATGGTATATACGAAAGAAAATGCAAAGAGATGCAAAATCTCTTCCCAACGCCAGTGAATCGAGCCGATCGGAAAGCACTCGGTCATCGACGATTCGAGCCGCTCTGCGCTGGATGCGGTAAAGTAGAAGGAGCTGCTACTGTGAAGCCCCAGCCCAGAGATGGGAACAGTATTCCATGTGCGGCCGAACCCGATCCTTGTAAAGTTGCAGGCGGTGTGCCGGCATTAAATACTGTTCCGCTGTGCTGAGCACGCCAAGCTTTTTAGAGGCCAAATTGGCCTTCTCTTCCAAGTGAACGCCAGGAAACTGCACGTCACTCGATATGTCGACGCCGAGGATTCCGATACTGGCTGAGACAACAAGTGGAGTGCCATGAAACTGAGGATATACGATAAAGGGGTTCTTTTTAGCGATTAACGCGCAAACTTGTGCCTTCTCAGGGTTAAACTGGACAAAATTTAGTCGCCCCCAATCCGAGACTCTGTTCAGAAAAGCCTCGACTTCAGACACTAGTTTGTACCTGTACTCGGCGACATTTTCCCGAGAAATAATGGCACGGCCGGTGTACAGAGCATCTCCAGTGCTCTCATCTGCATAACAATGAATGATACGGTTTTGCAACATATCATTGATATACAGAAGAAACAGCGTTGGCAATAGCGCGCAGCCTTGTGGAACACCAGCATTAATACGCTTGTAGTTGGAGCTTGTAACGTCTACAACGACCTTGATGCTCCGATCTGCAAGAAAGCTGGTGATCCAATCGCACAATTTCTCGGGAAGCCCATAGGAAGCGAGCTTCAAAAGAAGCACTTTGTGCCAAACCCGATCGAAAGCCTTCGCAATGTCCAAACTAACGGCCAATGCCGTCCCCTTGGACTCTTCTGCCCCTGCCCATCTATGAGTTAGATAGACCAGAAGATCACTAGCTGATCGACCACGGCGAAAACCGTATTGATGATCACTAATCAGCTGGTGATCCTCAAGGTACCTCATAAGCTGGCAGTTTACAATGGACTCCATTGTTTTGGAGAACAAGGAGGTGATGGCGATAGACCGGTAGTTGGATGGGCCCGAGCGGTCGCCTTTTTTAGGAATCGGGTGGACGAAAGCCTTCTTCCTTGGTTTTGGAACTACGCCTATGGTACTCCACAGGAGTACAGGAAAAGACGCGTTATAACCAGTGCCAACTTTGGAGCACACGTCCTCAGCACAATTGGGGGGATTCCGTCAGGCCCACTCGACTTATGGATGTTCAGGGAGAGGAGTGCTTTGGAAACCGAGCGCTGTGTGAACTGCACTTCCGGCACGGAGCACTTACACCGCGGAATGGTCGGCGGCATACTCCCTCTGTCATCGAGAGTCAAGTTGGACGCAAAGAAAGAGCCTAGCAGATCGGCTTACTCCTTTGCGATATGGGCCAGTGAGTCGTCCTCCCTGTGCCGAGATGGAAGAGATGGCTGACAGAAACTCCCTGGACAGCCTTGGCGAGAGACTAGAATGAGGTTATTAGAGGTTCCAGAAGGAAGGTGAACTAGTTTCCCGCCAATTCTGCCTATGTGCTCTGACTTCGGCGAAGGACCTGGAGGCAGAATAATACTTCTTTTTTAGAGCGCTGATGTTTATATCCCGGGACGTTGTTGCCTCAGCCCAGGATTGGTAGCACTCTTGCTTATAGCATGATGCTATTTTACAGGACCGACCAAACCATGGCTGAGATTTGCCTCCGATGGGCAACACAGAGGAAGGAATAAAAAGTTCCATACCCGAAGTACCACATCGCAGAAAAAAAAAGGCGAATAACCAAGGAATGCCACTGTGTGCCATTGTGGCATTTTAAACAAGCTATGGAGAATTCTTAATTTAATAAATGTTTGACTCTATCTAAATATTATTCTTTGACAGAACATTTATCAAATAATAATACTATTATTTTATTTTCAGGGGCAGTGAAAGGTCTGTGAGTGTGAAGTGTGGCAAGAAAGAAACTATTTTACAGTTAGAAGCAAACTCAATAACTACAATGGAATTTGTTTGTGATGCATATTAAGCACAAGACACTTAAAATTGTATTAAACCTTTTATTTATTTTTTTTGATTTATGTATAAAAAGTAAATAAATTGTCCTTGTAATATGAAACTTCTATAAAATTATATTTTTCCTGTTTTCTTTAAGCATTTTTTTCTTTTACCCCTATTTTTTTATGAAACTGAAGTGACAAAAAAAACTTAAAGTCCACCTGCAAACTATTTCGGATGAAGAAGGCTACAGATGAGCTGTCACTCCTGAGGACTATAATGAAATCAAACCTGTGATTATACTGGCTATATTTTTTATGGAATAAGGGTGGCAAACGAGCAAACAGTCCACCTGATGGTAAGTGGATGCTGTGGCCCATAGACATCTACAATTATCCTCGAGTAAAAATCAAAACGCAGATACGTTTTCACCCCTGAGGACTAAGATGGAATGCTTTATTTCCCGTAAAAAATGGTCTCCGGTTCTCTACATTCATCAAACGAAACACAGCATTATTAAACTGCTATTTTACGCCGGTTTTCTATGAGAGCGTGGTCCTTACACGGTCGAGCCGACCCATTCGTGCTACCACGTATATCTATAACCTTTTAGACTAGAACACAGAAGTGCATGCACTGCTATTCGGCGGCAGAAGTAAGTAAGAGGGTGGTGCCACCCAGAAAAACTGCTAGGTATAAATTGAATCCTAGGTAGCTCAGATGGTTAGCTCTCCCTGTGAATTTCACAGTACGCGAGCAACCCGAGTTCGATCCCCGACAGCACCAATAAAATTGTTAATTGCAATTTTAAGTGCTAATTTACCACATAGTTGGTGGTGAAGGACAACATCGTGAGGAAACCTGGATCGAAACATTAAGTCCCACGCATTGGGGCCCTAAAACCCTCTCAAAAATAGAGAAGGCCCGTGCCCAGCAGTGGGACGTATATGGGCTGGTTCTGCTGCGGATATATTCGATACGGATTTTGTTACGCAAAGTAACTTCGAGCACAGCCCTCTCCATAGTTTGCAAAACGACTTTAAGCTTTCTCATGCATTCAAAAGTAAGTTCCAAAGGTCATTGCTGGCCCATTGATTGTACACATGTTTTGAGATTTTGCTGTTATTTATTGGACTTCACAAAGGAGTACTATTTGTCGATTGACTACTTGGTCGAAGTTGGACTTACAGTAGTAGTGAGTTTACGATCGCTCAAGACAATACACAAATAACTCTGCGCTATCTAAATTGTTTACATGATGGCGCCCATATAAAATTCACTAAAATTTTCATTTCCTTCACTTTTAAGAGTAATTAATCTACAAAACATATACCACTTCGCATGGTTTCCTATGGATAAAGATATCAACGATATTTGTTACATTAAATTCGTGAACACCATATTTTCCTTCCACATTTGTTACAGACATATTCTTCAATAACTCGTAGTTTCCTAACAACCCCAGCATACATGTGACATGAACACAACTTTTTCTGATGTCGTAACCGTTGGAAACCTATTCGTTGGTAGATACTATGTAGATTAAACTGAGCATAATGCTAGGATTCGAATCAACGTATTTTAGAGAATGAAAGTCATTAAATCTGCATGCAAAACATTTCTTAATGACTGATGATGCAGTTTAGATGAGAAATTAGCTGAAGATCTTTATGAGGGCGTTACGTTACGTTACGTCACTTGGAAGAGAAAGCCAAATTGGCCTCTAAAAAGTTTGGCGTGCTCGGCAGCGAGGGTCAGTATTTCATGCCAGCAGACCGCCTGTAACTTTACAACGCGTACGTTCGGCCTCACATGGAATACTGTTCCCATCTCTGGGTTGGGGCTCCCCAGTACCAGCTCCTTCCACTTGACCGCATTCAGCGCAGAGCGGCTTGAATCGTCGACGACTGAGTGCTTTCCGATCGGCTCAACTCTCGATCTCTTTGCATTTTCTTTCGCAAATACCACGGAGATTGCTCTGAGGAATTGTTCGGATTAATCCTAGCCACCAAATTTAATGAACGCGCTATGCGGTAAACCTCCGATTCCACCCATATCATCTGGATGCTTAGCGGTCCACCACTGTTCGTTTCACTAGGAGTTTTCTTCACCGTACGACCTTTCTGTGGAATAGTTTTCCACCGGCAATTTTTCCGGAACGATACGATCTAGTGGATTTCAATAAAAGAGCTTACTTTTTTCTAAAAGACCGGATACACACCTGCAATTCCCCAGGTGTAGCAGTTGTATGTGGGCGGCGGTAGTCACTTAACATCAGGTGAACCGAATACTCCTTTGCCCCCTCTCCTGTAAAAAAATCTTATAATTGCTTTTTGGCTACATCTGCTATTGTATTGATTAATGGTGCATATGTGTCACCTCATGAGGGTAGTAGCTGGAAGGAGGCTCTGAGGAGACTCTCAAGGCTGAGGCCGAAAGCCACACAACATGGAACTCCATTACTTTGTGGTGAGCGGTAGACTCATGACACTCTGACCATGCAATCGGTGGTGATGCTATGCCCTTACATCACGTCTGTAGGAACGACGGTCTGGCAGGTAGTGGCGCTCATAGAGGGCGTTTTATAGTCAGTGTGCCTAATTTCCTAAGCCGTGTGACGTACATTCACTGTTGCATTCACATGCGCAACTTCGGTCGATGTTTGTGCTTACGCACTACCAAGGGGCCACCACCATCATCATCATCATCATCATCATCATTACAGCCCTTCATAAGTCCACTGCTGAACATAGGCCTCCCCCAAGGTATGCCACAAAGCTAGGTAAGTCCAATTAATAGTCCGACTAGGTAAATACAACTTCGACCTTAGAGGTCAATCGACGGATTCAACTCGGCTGGGCAGCGTTCGGGAAATTACGACATATCTTCTAGTCAGGTATACCTCAAAACCTGAAAACTAAGTTGTGCAACCAGTGCGTGTTACCAGTGATGACCAAGGGGCCAAGCCATCTTTAATTGGTTCGCCAGTTATTTTGCTGTGGACTACGGTCCAGCTCCCAACTTAACTTCCTCTTCGGGGGGAGCGCAATAGATGGTTGGCTCCATCTAGGCCGTGTGTCTTCCCCACATTTTTTTGTAATGTGGGTGAGCGAAACCCTTGTATTGGGTATTTTATGTATAAATATATTGTGAGCCTTTCCCAAGCGGGAAGGGATGTATAATTATAAATTAATGATGTAAACCTGAGTGTGACGTTTAAATATGCTTAGAGGCTTAAAGAGACATTGACATGACACCACTTTACCTCCGTCGCTACGAATTGAACGTGTTAACCCACACAAAATAAAACACTCTGAACTGGACAGCCCCGAGGTCTTAGAACTATAAAATTTTAACATAAAACACAACCCACGTAGACCGATGAAAAAAATATTTGACATACCCATATCGCGAAATAATATTTGCCGGAATTTATCAAGGTTATGTCGACTTTGTGAGGATTATAGCCTTTGCTTTATCAACCTTGACATCTTCAACTCTAGCCTGATTTGCTTTAGAAATGTTTTGAAAGACATTCTCAAGGACATCCCTCTTTGATTAATATTCATTAAAGTTACGGTTCTCGATTTGTTGGAAATATTAGCCTGTTAGTTTAAATTTAAGTTTAATTTTATTTTGTTTCTCAATCTTGGCATGCTGTGATAACACGTATAAGGATTATGTCTTGTACCACACCATTATTATTGCAAGTTATAGATTTAAGTCGTGATGTGATCTATTGTGTTGTCCAATATAAATGCTCTAAACCTTTCTCGAGCCTTGTCTTCGTGAACTTAGCTTATAAGGCACTACCAACAGAGCTTACAATTGCTCTAGTGAATATTTATTCTTCCAAAAGACACCTAAAAGAACTAAGTTACTAAACAAAAACAACGTAAACAAGAGTCCTAATGAAGACAATCACGCCATAAGTATTACAAACGGCTTAATATTAAAACTTTAGAAAGATCAAAACATAATATTTATTTATCCTGTTCCCATATATAGATATAATTATTTTATTTAAAAGGGGAAATAATATAATATATGAAAAGGGGTGGGGGGGGGGGCTGCGTTACAATATGTATTTGCGATATATTATATATTTTGCAGACGGAGTTTTTGTTTTTGAGATATCGTTTGATAATTTGGTGAAGTGAGTTTACGTGAAAGTGGTGCGTTTTTTATATAAATGTCAATGCATGTCAACTACTAGTACTAGGGAAATATGAAAGAAGAATACTCACAGAATACCTGTGTAAAATAGCTGATTAATGCTGCTGTGTTTCGTATGGTGAGTGTAGAGAATCGGAGACTGTTTTTACTGGAAACGAGGCATTTCATCTTACTCCTCAGGGGTGGCGACACATCTGCATTTTGATTATAATGAATCGAGGATAGATGTAGATGTTTATGGGCCACAACATAGTGAATGTTACCATCAGGTGGACTGTTTGTTCGTTTGTCACTCCTATTCTACAAAAAGTGATCCAATGGTGATGTGAAACTCAAGTATTATGTCTGCTTTGGCTCCTTGACATACTAGTACCATCGTCATCGACTATCTGCCGGCTCAGACTGCCGTCAAAATTACTCAAAAACTTCACAATGTGACACCAACATATTGTAAAGAAATTTTGAAACACATTACAAACCATCAGGTGGGGTGTATGTGTAATAGTCCACCTGATGGTAAGTAGTAGCTGCAACCAACTTCAAATAAATAGGGATACAAATGCGTTTTCATCTCTGACGATGTAGATGTAATGCCATCAGCCTGTAATTATACTGATTCTCTAAACCATTCTGACTGGAACACAACAGTGCAGATGCTGCCATTTGGCGGCAGGAATATGTGGTCGTTCCGACCCAGACGGACTCCTAGACAGAAAAGGACCTACCGCCTAGTTAACTCAGAACCTTAATTTGTTGTCTCTTTCCTATTCAAGATACTAAATTATTTAAATACAAAATGTTAAGGTGTTGCATAATGTCTGATTCAAAGATCTAATCGCAATCTAACACGGTTTAAATGTTTTCCAGGTTAAAGTTACAGCCCATATACGTCACACTGCTGGGCACAGACCTCCTCTCTTTCTGAGAAGGTTTTAGGGCCCCAATGCGTGTTGTGGAACTTAACATGTCTTCGAAATATTTTTTCCTTATTTCTCAGGCATGCAGGTTTCCTCATGATGTTTTCCTTCACCACAAACGACGTGGTAAATCAACACTTAAAATTGCAATTAAAAATTTCATTGGTGCCAGCGGGGATTGAACCCGGGTTGCTCGCGTACTGTGAAATTTACAGCGTGAGCTAACCATGTGAGCTACCTAGGATACAATTTATACCCAGCAGTTTTTCCGGGTGGCACCACCCTCTTACCTACTTCTGCCGCCGAATAGCAGTGCTCGCAATTCTGTGTTCTAGTCTAAAGGTTATGGATATACGTGGTAGAGCCACGCTGTAGCTATAATATGGTTGTAGCACGTATGGGTCTACTCGACCGTGCAAGGACCACGCTCTCATAGAATAACAGCAGCAGTAGTTAGCAGTAGCAGCAGTTAAATAATGGGTGCGTTTGGCAGAAAAAAGCGCTAGCAAGCGCTTGTAAGCAAAATGGCGATCGTAAGCGGTAAGCGCTGTCAAATCGTAAGTAGCTATTTTCCTCCAGGACACGATGTTAGTTTTAACCGGGGAATCTAACCTAATTTAAATATATGTTTGTAAAGTATTCATATTAAAAACTTACCAATCATGAGTTTTTAATAGCATGTATATGTTTATTCATGTCATTATATTACTTAAAACTAATATTGCACAAAACAACTTATAAACTCTACTTCAAAACAAACAAATTAAATAAGCAAAATGGCGGATTGTGTCAGCGCTACTGAAGTAGCAATCGTGTCCTGGCCGAAAACTATTTTAGCGCTTATAAGCGCTTGCTAGCGCTTTTTTCTGCCAAACGCACCCAATGAAGGCTCCGTATTGGTGTCACGTAAACATTAGGCTCCGTATTAATTTCGTTTTAAAAATAGTAAATCATAAAGTTTGATTATAAAAACTGTACATTCAATGAATTTTAAGTGAAATACCCATGAAAAAGTGTTATCTTATAGTGAAGTAAGCCAAAAACGTCGTTATAGCCGATACAAAAGTAATATTTTTTCTTGTCGATAAAAACTGTTTACATTTTTATAAACAATCGAAACCCGTGGGAAAAGATAAAGTTATCAGTAAAAACAGAACTGTGTAAAATATTAGTGCCTAAAATACTTTCAAGTGAACCTAATTAGTTTTTCTCAACCGTTATTTTAATTTGAACACCAAAACGGACTTTGACCCTAGTACTTAAACTAACATCGCAAATAGCCAACCACATCTATCGTATATTGCATGAACTATTTTCACCCGCAACCAGCTAACGCCCAGCACCGATAATAATCGTCACTCCGCGTAATTGCTTTGCTAGTACGCATATTAACTGTTTCTGGTACTGACGGAAAGATGGCGTTAAATTGCATTAAGTGCAAAACATCCATAGTATATAAGCAATTTCTTAAGTATTCAGTTTGTGAAAAGCACTGCCACATCGATTGTACTAAAGTATCATTCCAACGCTTTCGAATAATGACAGCGGAAACGAAAAAAGCTTATAGATGCGATCCATGCTTAAATAAAATGAAATCCCCAGCTACCACTAATGCATATATTACAGGTGTCGTTACAAAATAGCTCTACCCAATCCTATTCGTCCATACTAGATGCGTCCACGCTCCTTAATAATACCCTACCATCGCCAGGAACAAATACTTCGACACAGGATCAGGACTACGTCACCTGCCACAATAAAAACCGAGTAAATATTCCCAATAATTCTTTCGAGGAACTAAACAATGACGAAAAGTTCTTGTCGACGGCATCAAATCCTACAAAAGACACTCAAATTCTATCAGAACTAAAAACTAAAAAAAAACAGTATACAGTTGAAGAATTATTAGTAAAAATAGAAAACCTAGAGTGCAAACTAAAGAGAAAAAATACCTAAAACGTTCTTATGGAAAAAGTATAATGTGAAGTAAAGTTGAATAAACTGATATCTTCGATATCATTACTTCTAAATCGCCAAAACCAAATTCTAAAGAAAAGTCGATAAATAGTGATGACTTAATGCTTTCACCGCAAAAAAATTAACAGTCATAGCCCATTAAATAATAACTTATCCACAATGATTAGTGTCGAAATTCCTACAAACTCTGATCTTCATATGCACAACAAGCCCAAAGTAGTGAAGGAAGCTGCAAACAAAATTTGTCTACTCAGTACGTCCAGATTTATGAAGACCCGAAACATATTACAACATAATGTACAAAACAACTATGATATATGCCACTATCTACTGACTGATCATGGCATAAGACCACTTCTACTAGACATCGAAAAAAACTTCAGAACTTCTCCTTTAGTCATTGGCAAAGAGGATTTTGAGGCCACAACTAATTATTTTGAGCTTATTACCTACATCCGAGAAAAATTACTACAAATAACACATACAAATATTATCTTCTGTCTGCCGACATTCAAATGTGGTAGATTTGTAAACCTATTCAACAAGAGAATATAACTGTTTAATAACCTCCTTTATTTGGACAATATGACATATCAATACTCATATTTAATTGACTCCAACTTGAACCTCGATTACAACCTTACCATATTTCATAAGCGCACAGGCCAGATAAACGACTACGGCATGCAGATCATCTTTAAAGACGTCGCTGATCTACTAAAGAACATAGAAGAATACCAAGAAGAGGATTGTGGCAAAATTGTAGTAAACAGTGCCAATGATTTGAAAACCTCTGAAATTGTCTCAAAAAAGGAAGAAACCTTACCGATAAATAACTACCTATTATCAAAACAAGAAACAGAGCCTATAACCAAAAGTAGTATTCCTGACAAGACATTTCGTTAACAGTTTTAAATTAACTTTACAAAACGTTCAGAGCTTAGGAAATAAAGTAGACTTAATTGAGCATTTATTAGTTGATATAAACATCGACATATTATTAAGAAGTATGGAGAAATGAGGACTTTTGTGAATCTATAGTAATACCAAATTATAAAATAGCTTCAAAATTTTGTAGAAAAAAGCATGGTGGTGGAGGTATTTGTATAATGCTGAAAGATTGTATTGATTATATTGAAAAAATGGACTTGGTTAGTTTTTTTTTAGAATTTTGTGCAATAGAAATACCGAAGTATAATATTGTTTTAGTCAGCTTATATAGAGCGGATCGTAATATTAATATCTTTTATGAACAATTAAACTACTTAATAGAACACAACTAAAATATAGTCATAAATATGTCATTATTGGGGGTGATTTTAATATAAATGTTAACGAAAACAATAGTTATTCAAATTTAGCAAAACAAATATTACGATCTTGTATTCGATGTAATCGCGTAAAGGCTTAGACTTTGAATGGTCTAAGCATAAAGGGCAAGCCCATCCAGGTCATTATAAGAGAATGCAGCTTGATTTCCCATTTTTAACCATAGATTTAGATTTTGCCGGGTCAGGTCTAATAGTTGATCGTAAAGGCAGAGGTTGTAAGCTATCGAATTCATACATTTGTGTTTTGTGTGCCATGTAGATAGAGCTGCCCACTTGTAATTGGTCTCCGATCTAACAAAGGAGTCCTATCTTGCCGCCTTTAGTCGGTTTGTCGCACTTCGTGGCCTCAGCGCGTGTACTCTGAAAATAGCACTAAGTTTATAGAAACTTTCAATGAGCTTAGACGATTTCTATAATTATCTTACAATGATATTGAGCTAGACATTGCAATCCAGGGCATAAAATTCAAATTTATACCACCTCATTCACCCTATTTTGCGGGCATTTGGGAAGCAGCATTAAAGTCAACTAAACATCTTTTACGTCGCACTCTCGGTCTTACTCATCTTACTAATGAAGAACTTTCCACGTGTCTGAGTCCGATAGAGGCCATCTTAAATTCCAGAATATTGAGCCCTCTATCCAAAGATCCTTCTGATCTTTCCTATGTTTCCCCTTATCGCTTCCTGATTGGACGACCACTCACATCAGTTCCGCATCCTCACGTCGCTGACAGCAACATCCAGCGACTTCCACGCTACCAGCGAGCCTAAAAGCTTCAGCAAAATTTGTGGCACCGATTTACCAGGAGTACATCACTGCTTTACAACATCGAACGTAGTGAAAAACCGCTGATGAAGAGCTCACACAGGTATCATGGTTTTTTTAAAGGATAAGGTTTCAAACGAGCACACAATCCACCTGATGGCACACCTACATGTATTCTCGATTACGAATCAAAATGCAGATGCGTTGTCACCCGTGAGAACTAAGATAGAATGCCTAATTTCCAGTAAAAAGGGTCTGCGGTTCTCTACACTCACCATACGGAACATAGCAGCATTAACCTACTATTTCACGCTGGTATTCTGTGAGAGCGTGGTCCTTACCCGGTCGTGTCGACCCATTCGTGCTACAACTATACTACTAATATAACTGCAGCATGAATAAGCCAAAGAAGAGGACGTCAATTCTTTGGCTGACTGCTCGGAACCACTCGGTCGCAACGCACACGCAACGGCTACTCTTGCAAATTGTATCAGTACCTGTTAAATTACCTATACAGTCTACATATTGAAATATTTATTTAATTCAAGAATTCCACCAGCACAAGTGGAGCTTGATACTCAACAGCTATCATTATATCCATCTACTTACTGCTAAATAAACCAATGGTAAATCACCGATACTGTGAGTATTCAACCAACTACTCAAAACACCGATAAAATTAAATACTTAATGGAATTCTAATGGATGCTTATTCAGTAATATGAAAATTAAATGTTCCGTGACATTTTTATCTCTATTTGATGGAATAATTCATGGCATCGTTAGCTGCCTAATTACTAGTTATATGTGGTCAACAATCGTGAAATAGCTTCAATCCAGATTTTATGGATTTTATTTAAACAAATAAAATACCGCATATATAAGAATAGAAGGGGAGTTGATCGAGCAAGTAGATGAGTTTGTATATTTGGGCTGCGTATTTAGCAGGGATGGGAGATATGATAAGGATATCGAACGACGAGTGAATACGGGAAATAGAGTAAATGGGGCATTGCACTCTATTGTGAAGAGTCAAAATGTGTCGAAAAAGGCACGTATGGCAATTCACAATGCTGCGTTGGTCCCTACTTTAACGTATGGTAGTGAAAGTTGGGTGTAGCAGAAGAAGCACGAGAGTAGAATAAACGCAGTAGAAATGCGGTCGTTAAGGAGTATGTTAGGGCTGAATCTGAATGACAGGGTAAGAAATTGTGTAATAAGAGAAGAGTGTGGTTTGCAAGATGATGTTGTGACCAGGATTAAGAAAGGAATGCTTCGGAGGTTTGGTCATGTGGAAAGAATGAATGAGGAGAGTGACGAGAGAGGAAAGAAAATTTATGGTGCAGAAGTGAATGGCAGAGTCGGAAAGGGACGTCCTAGGCGAAAATTTATCGACCAAATTGGCGATTTATTGAAAACGGGCCAAATTAGGAGTACCCTTAACCGACGAGCATGTATGCGTAGGTTTATGGATGTGAAGGAGGCAAGAGAGGTGTGTCAGGATCGCACTAAATGGAAGTCTGTAGTCTCTGCCTACCCCTCTGGGTGACAGGCGTGAGTGTTTATGTTATGTTATGTTAAATAAAATACGAGAGCTCGCCATGAGCTTTCATCATAGCAGGAGAGCAAAACTTGTAAGATTCTCGAAAGAGAAACTAAACTGTTATAGGAAATTTACCGTGCTGACTTACTACGTGTTTGGTGAAGTGATGGAGAATAACTTCGTATGGAAACCTAGATGTCTGAGTAGCTAAAAAGTCTTGGAAATGTAAAAACCGTTAATACGCATTGTGGTATACTCTTTTCCGCGTACAAAACACTATCATCATCATCATCATCAGCCTGCGGCAGTCCACTGCTGGACATAGGCCTCTCCCAAGGCGCACCACTTAGCCCGATCTTCGGCTACACGCATCCAGTTTCTACCAGCCACCTTGCGCAGATCGTCGCTCCATCTGGTCAGGGGCGTCCCACACTACGTTTGCCTAGACGCGATCTCCACTCTATACACGTCTACTCCACCGGTTGTCACCTCTGCGACAGACATGACCAGCCCATTGCCACTTCAGCTTACAAACACGCAAAGCTATGTCAGTAACCTTGGTTCTCCGGCTGATTTCTTCATTTCGAATTTTGTCTGCCAGAGAAACTCCGAGCATATCTCTTTCCATTGCTTGCTGAGCGACTTCAAGCTTTTGGAGCAGACGTATCGTCAGTGTCCACGTTTCGGCACCATAAGTGAGTACGGGCAGAACACACTGGTTGAAGACTTTTGTCTTCAGACTTTGCGGTATGGGCGACGTGAAAACCCGACGGAGCTTTCTAAATGCTGCCCAGCCTAACTGAATCCTCCGATCGGCTTCTTTCTCGAAGTTATTCTTACCTAGTTGCAATATCTGCCCGAGTTAGGTATATTCCTGGACAACTTCGAGAATTTCACCATCAACAGTAATTGGAACTGGCATGACGTAATCGTTGAACATAATTTTTGTCTTGTTCATCATGAACAGAGGATTCATTTAGTCTGTTGAGCATATCCTGAAGTTCCTCCAGCGATTCTGCCATGACGACGATATCATCAGCAAAGCGTAAGTGTGAGATGTACTCACCGTTTACGTTAATACCGCGTCCTTTCCAGTCTAACGTCTTAAAAACATCTTCCAGCGCATTTGTAAACAGTTTAGGGGATATAACATCCCCACAAAACACTATGGTTGTAGGTAACTAGGAGCTCTGTGTACAGCCGTGAGACTTATGAAAGCTGCTACTTTACTTTTTTACCTTTATTAAGACTTATAAATCAGTTTGGCATTTAAAATAGCTTTAATATTTTCAGACATATTTAAGATTTTGTGACAGGCCGGGTTTCATAACTTTTATGAGTTTGAACATGAACAGGCTCTTGTGAAAATACTTTAACTATCAAAGATAGCAAATTTTACTTAAGTAAACATTTATTTTATTTTACTTATCAAAGACGGTAAACTAATTCAAACGTTAATTTCATAGTTCGTAAGCAACCCAAATTCATTATATGTTAATAGCAATTCTCGGTGGTGAAGGAAAACATCGTGAGGAAACCTGTATATCTGAAAAGCCCCCAGATGAGGTCATGCCGCGTTAGGGTCAGCGCAGAGAATATTTTTTGGCCCAAAATTCTCTGCGGCCTGTGTCCAGTTATGTGATTTATGTAGACTACTACTTTTTCAAATTTAATGAGGCTATTGTGCAGTTTTAATTTCTTTCATATTTTCGGAGATGTTACTTTTTGTTGTCATTCTATCGTAAATATCAAGGTTTTTTGCGACACAAATGAGTAGAACTCATCATTGTTATCATTACAGCCTGCCAGACCTATGTAGGGTCCACTGAACTGAACCTTTAGCCTCCCAAATAGGTGGTCAAATAGGCTGGATATTGGCTGTAGTTGGCACGCTTTGCAGGCGGCTTGGAAAAGGCAGGTTTTATTATTTTGATCTGCTATCGGGAAGATGGTGCTGCCTTTATCTTGTTTGTTTGGGGCCCCAAACAAACAACAAGATATGGGCAAGATATTGGACAATGATATGAATTATAAAGGTATCGCAAATAAAAATCTAGTAATGGAAATTAATTGAAGACCACGAAATTCATCGTTATTTTGTTAAAACTAAATTAGGTTTAATTATGAATTAATGTGAAGAGTAAAATGTAAATAATGCAATTTTGATTTCAACCTTTTCCGATGTATCCAACATTGGAAGACACGAACTTCGATCGAATTTTATTAATTTTGGCACGGAACAGCATTTAATGATGCTCCTATTT